TTCGATTCGCGACTGTGGCAAGTCCGAGAGCCGTTGGAATGATCGCCACAAAAGGCCCGGAACAAAGGCTCGCAAAAAGACGCTCAAGAGGACGCGGGGAGTCAAGCGAAAGATACAGAGATATCGTCGCTCCTGTGACTTGAGGGCGTATCTCTATTTTCACACGAGCTCCGAAGTGTATAGAGATATACGGAGCACAGGGCTCAACTGAAAATTGAGATAGTTACATCTGAGGAAGACGATCCCTCCCTCGCGAATTCCTGCCCCTCTGCATAAGCAATATTGTGTACCAACGTGGTGGGTAAAAACACTGTATGAGCATTTAGGCTCGATACAATGTGAAATTTCTGAGGAATTCGCAATGTTTTCTCTTGGAATTTGCAGAAAAATGGTGGCTACAGTTGAGAAATGCGTTGAGACCTTCTAAATCTTTGCTCATGTCTTATTTTTTTGGAAAAAAACCGACTGAAAGTTTATATTTAAATTTTCTCTGAATTTTCCTCACTCATCCTGCATAATCGCACCAAATTTCAAGGAACATTTTGATGATTTGTGTCAAAACGACCTAAATGCATAGGATTTGCGCGAAACACAGTTCCTTTCAGCATGAAAACGCCCTGCGGTGGTTACGGGTTTTTAATTCCCCTGAAAGTAAGCTCTTCCGCGCATTGTAATTCCCACGAAGTAACAAGTCCATCTACGTGAGAACTTCGTTGAAGTTGAAACATCCCCCTCCCCCCTCGCCCAATCTCTGTAGATCAATGGCATACGGCAAATAACGCATAAGTGAACGCTCTTGTTTTCAAAACATCACTCTTGCGACAGGTGCTAAACAAACCAAGGTGTCGAAGAGTGCATTTAAAATTGTAATTTCAACTAAGTTCTAGAAGGAATCATATAATCCCTTCGTTTTTTTATCACTTTTCTTTATAATGCGGCGCGCGGCGTCGCCGTTTAACTCAAATTCTATGAATCGCTTTCACGGTTCATTGATGAGTTCTCTTCCTTTTCCGCCCCCACCACCCCTTATTTTAAATTAATGTTTTTCGTTGGAACACTGATACGGATTTTCCCACTATTTCCTTTTTACGAAAGTTTACCATCCCTCATTGTTTCACACACGTAGTGGACTTCGACCTCGAGAGAAACAAAAGAGCGGTCCCTTACGCACACCTGCCTAATGTTGTTGACAAATCGTTGTTCCTCCGACGTAAGGGCGTATCTCAATTTACACGTGAGCCCCATCTTACATATAAAACCATACTCCCTGGGGCTCATATGGAAATAGAGATACGCCATTACGTTACGTCAGAGGATGAGTGCCTTGTTTTGTTCCTCAACTTCGGGTTTTTTGCCGCTGACAAACAATAGATGGAGTTCCACGTGGATATCCCACTGGAAGGGGGTCAGGAAGAGGAGGGTTGGTCGTGGGGGCTGGCAGGTCATTAAGAGGAAAGGTTATAAAAGAAAACCCCCGTGCTAAAGTTTAGTCAGTGCCGGTTTAGTGGTCAATTTGGTTCAGTGGGATAAAGAGTCAGTGGGTCAGAGGGTCAAAGGGTTGTTTGTGTAGTGCATCGGTGGTACAGTTATTAGTGGTGCAGTGCAACAGTGGAGCAGTTCAATAATGGTGATAATGTATGAAGAATAAATATGTTTCTGGTGAAGAAAAAAAAAATTATTAATGCGTTGCTACAGTGGTACAGTTGTACAATATTATAGTCAGTGCTACAGTCAAGAATGATTTATAAAAAAAAAAGAAAAAAAAAGTCAAGTTAGAATTTGGAGTCTCATCATGTATATGAAAGTGATAGTATTTAATCATCGTACCTTATATATATATTCATATACTATCTAATACTTTAAATTTTAAATCCAGCTTTCACAGTAGTTCAAATTAATTTTTCTCTTGAGCCGCCTACTAATTTTTTTCTAAGCATTTCTTTTTCTTGTTTTATGGGCAAGAAACAAGGAGAGTAAGAAAGTTATATCATTTTTTGTCTCAGTTCTTCACAAATTTTTTTTACATATGAGAAAAAAGGAGACAGTTTTTTTTTGTTTTTTTTTTATTATTTTTATTTTTTTGGTTTTTTGGAAAGGCAAGAATCAATCGGTTTTTATCCTTATTTTACAGTCAAAAATTTTCTTGGATTCTTCATGTTTTAAATACTGTATGTGTGCAGTGTTGTTCATGTTTTTAATACTTTATATACTTCAAACACAGGGGGAAAAGGTCCCAGCATCCTGCTTGTGACTTCCGTGCATTTCATTTTGCTGTTTTCTTTCCTTTTGATTTTTTTCTCCTGTATATCTCTTGCTGATCCTTTGCAGTTTATTTTTTTTTAGGTTGTTGAGACTAGCACAGTCAAAATTGTTTTAGTTGGTTTCATTTTGCTGTTCTGATCTTATATTTATTTATTTATTCTCCTGTACACCTCATGTTGATTCTTTGCTTTTTTTCAGGTTGATGAGAAACTACCACGGGGAAAATTGTTTTTGTTTGTTTCATTTTGCTGTTCTTTTCTTCTCCTTTTTTTCTCCTGAACGTCTCATGTTAATTCTTTGTATTTTTTTCTTAGAGCATCTGTGTGACATTATTTGATTTCATTTTGCCTTTTTCTTACACCTCGCACTAACTCTCAGTTTTTTATTTATTTTTTCAGGTTGGCAAGAATTAAACTTGTGGGGTGAAAACAAGTTCAGCATCCAGTGGCCAGTTCAGAGCGTGGTCTTTGAACGCTTCCTCCCCTCCTCCTCCCACAGATTGTCTCATATTAACTTTCTCCTGAGACTCTATATTTAAGATTAATAATTAGAAATGGCAAATCATTTTCTGTTTAAGAATTTTAAAGATTCAGAAAATTGACAAAAAGCATCCAAAATAACTTTCCTGCGTTGACGATTACAGAAAAATGAATTTTTCTAAATAATTAATAGTTTTTTTATGAGAGTCCTTTGAAATATCAGCTCAGACTCAGAGAGGCTGATTTAGAGTAAACTCAAGTAGTTTCTAACTACAATTTTTAAATTAGGTTAAGTTCCGACTAATCATTTTTTTTTTATTTCCTTGTTTGTTTCAGGTTGGCAATAAACGAAGAAAATGCCTTGTGGAATGTGTCACTGAAGATGGAAGTAGTGCCCTCCAAAATTTTTATTTGTTATGTAATATCTTTAAGTTATATATTGTCCGTCAATTGGAGAAGTATTTTTGATTTGCAGTTCCGCAAGTAATTCTTTGTGTGAAGTAGGTAATTTTGCATTCTGCTAATAGTAATTAAGCTGCATTACGTCGAAAGTAAGTGACTTTTTTGGTTCAGTGCAGAAACAACATGGATGATATGAATTTTCCTATGCAAATGGTAGTTTTGCAGATGAGCCAAGAAAATCAGTTCCTTTTTGCGCATTAAAGAATAATCAAAACACGCACAGTAATTGCACACATCAGCAAAATCCAAAATCATATCCGAAATCGAGGAAATAATTAATATTAAAAAGTTCCAGAATGGAAGAAGTCCAGTGGAAGTTAGAGAACTTCCAGTAAAATTTTGCAGGCGGGGAATGTTACAGACAAAACTTAATCGAAACTATGATAGGGGACTTAGTAGAAGTTTAGTTTGAAACCTGTGTTGTCTCATATTAACTGGCAAATCATACTAATGATTCTTGGTTATTTTGTTTGTTTCAGGGCGGGAACGAAGAATCGGGCCAGGGGGGAGGGTTCGCTGAAGGGGGAGGTCCCCTGGGAAAGGGGGGTTCGTTGGGTTGGGAAATTTCGCGGAGTAAGGTTTCCCACAGGGTTCCCAGGGAGAGGGGGGTCCGTGGGGTTGGGCGCAGGTTCGCGGAGTAGGGTTTCCCAAGGGGGTTCCCGGGGAGAGGGGGGATGTCCGTGGGGTTTGTGTAGGATCGCGGAATAGGGTTTCCTAGGGGGGTTGGGGTCGCGGAGTAGGATCACGGGGGGAGGAGTAGGTTTTTTTTTTTTTTTTTTTTTTTTTTTTTTTTTTTTTTTTTTTTTTTTTT